TGTTTTTTTTTTTTTTTTTTTTTTTTTTTTTTTTTCCCATTAAACAATTTTATTTGTTACATTTTTGAATAATCACTAGTTTTAGAATTGTTTTATTAAATGTGATGCTGAAATTGCACACTAAATGCTTTTGCAATCACCAATTCACATAAAATTATTTATATTATTATTTTAGATGATATTTTATTTTATTCCATTTCATTTTATTTCTGTGAAGTATCATCTCTGTCTCATTTTTGAAAAATGTGGTGATGCTGAAATTACACACCAAATGCTTTTGCAATCACAAATTCACTTTTTATATATATATATTATTATTTTATTTTGTTACATTTTTCATTTCATTTATTTCTGTTTCACACTGTCATTTCCATAATATGTCTATATAGTTTGTAAAGAGTAAAGCACACCAAGGTCATGGGTTCGACTCCCAGGCATTGCATGAAAATATTATTTATATTGTGAATGCAATGTAAGTTGTTTTGGATAAACGCATCAACCATATGTAGGAATTTAAATGTTTTTATTCATACTTTAATGCATATTTATATTTTCTGTTTAACTAATTTTTTTCCTGTCTCCATAATAGTTTTAATAGACCAACCTTTCCAAATCCACTGAGCATACCTGTGACTGAATGCCAGGCTGTGTCTGTGTCATCAGGGCATTTCAGAAATACCCGCAGCTCTTTTGGGACGTGTTCTGCGGCAGCCACACATGCTGTTGGAGCTGCTGGGCACATTTCTGGCCCCCTGATGAGACTCCAGAGAGCGTTTCGCTCTAAATGCAGTTTAAATGTGTTTTTATTACCAGTTTATATTAAGCACCAGGTTCAGGCAAAGGCTCAGTAATCTCTTAAAATTCCTCGCAGCATATACAGCTCTGCTCGTCCTGCGTTTGATTTGTCCCGAGTGAAAAGTAACAAGATTTTGCAGCGGCCTGCTGTGAAACCACTATAAACCGGTTCAGAATGAGTCGGTTTAGAGCGACTCACAGCAGGTCAGCAGGTTTGTTTCAGCTTTACTCAATGCAGTTAAGAGCTGGACGTGTCGGCCAAGACGGCGTGCTGGTTAGTACAGTCTGTCAAACCAGCTGCTTTTTATGGGAGGAAAGAGATACAAGCACACATGACACACATCAGCCGCTTGCTTTCTTTCTTGAAATTTTTTTTTGTACGTTACCTATTTCTTATTCTATACGGTCATGATAGTACACTGCAAAAAATGATATAATCAATAAGTCTATATATAATCTAAAGTGTTAGTGTATTGCTATAGTAAAACTTATATACGTACTTATACAGATCAATGTTTAACATGGTAAAATTGTGAAATATTATTACAATTTAAAATACCTGTTTTCTATGTGAATATATTTTAAAATGTAATTTATTCTTGTGATGCGCAGCTGAATTTTCAGCATCATTACTTCAGTCTCCAGTGTCACATGATCTTCAGAAATCATTCTAATATGCTGATTTGCTGCTCAAGAAACATTTCAGATTTTTATCAATATTGAAAACAGTTGTGCAGCACAATATTTTTGTGGAAATAGTCATGAAAAGAATAGCATTGGTTCAAAATAGAAATCTTTTTGTCACATTATAAATGTCTTTACTGTCACTTTTAATCAGTTTTATGCATCCTTGCTGAATAACAGTTCATTTCTTAAGTTAATTACCCCAAACTTGACCTCTCTGAGCTGATTTTAAACCATATTTGGGGCTGATTTTGTAATGGGGTTCTTTGTGTGGGATGCTACTGATGTTCTTTCAGAAATAAACTCTTGGGAAGCCATATGAGTGTTTCTGTAAACACAGAGTTTCTGCTCCCAGGAACCAGTCTAAAAAGTAAAGTTCAGCATTTTTCTGAACATCACTAAGCAACCCTAGTACATTCTCTCTCCTCCAGCCCGGTTCATGGTAGACGTCACTTTGGGTGGCACTTCCTGTTCAGATTCCACCCGTGTCACACTGCGTGTTTGAGCGGGGCATTTCAGAGGAGATGCTGCTTCACATACTCCAGCATGAAAGAGCAGCACATCCTGGTCATCATCAGCTCTTCTCTGTCTGTCTCAGCCAGATGTGTTTGTCGTGTGGTGTAGCTCAGGGCTGAATCACAGCGGTTAGTGAAGGTTATCTTCTCTTAGACGGAAACATGCACATATTTGGCTCAGTCTCTGACACAAACCAGTAAACAGGAAACTCTTATTTTGATTAGAGCTTCATTATAAAGTGTGTGTTTGTGTGTGTTTGTGTTGAAGGAAGTGGTTATCTTTGGGGAAATTTATTGTGTTCCAGTCAACATCATTACTTATAAATGGCGTGCAGCGGGCGAACCTGAGCCAACAGTGTGAGAGAGAGAGAGAGACGCACAAGCACAGGTTAATCAGCTTCGAGGTGTGGATGTGGACGGATAGATGACAGACGAGAGCGCTCGATCGCGGTACTGCCATGTTTCTGGGCACGTTTTAGAGTGTTTGAAGCGCTAGAAGAACGCTGGCCAGATGCTTGCTAGTCGAAACACAGAAACTGAATCGGACTCACTTCTGTGACAACAAGGAGTGTGTTTTATTGTTTTTTTGGACTTGTACTATGGTAATATTCATATACTATGGTATTCACATGATACTTTTTCCACTATGTCCAAAAACCATGTTATTATTACTAATAATAAAAAGGAAAAGGTATCATGTGAATACCATAGTATATGAATGTGATCATCATTCAGTACCATAAAATATGTGAAAATAACATGATCTTATACATGGCTGTACCATGGTAACATCACAGTTCTTTATTGTAAGGGATGTTTGACCTGATGTAAGTGTGTTTGAAGTCAACAAAAGATCAGATTAGACTATTTATTAATACTTTATTAATACACATTTCTGGTATTATTGAGGATAATTCCTTTTAGGTAATAATTATTTGATGAATTATATATATAATTTTATCTAAATTAAAATGGGTTGCAAATGACATTTTTCGTTGTCTTTGATTATGAATGAGCTGTAGAAAATCATTGAGAAACTGTTTTGGTTTTAAAAAGTCTCTTTTTTTTGTGATGGTGAAGACGGAGGAGCAGAATATTTATCTGCATTTGATGTGACACAGGCATTTCCTTTAATCAAAGTCTGTCCCAGACCACCACCACCTCATGCAAACACAGAAACACACACATATTCTGTCATTTACTAATGCATATTCTTTAATAATTGCATGCATATTTGTTTATATTTATTTTTGCATATTAAATTGTTGGTCTAATATGCCAAGCATGCACCAATGTTAAATGTTTCTAACAGTCTTTCTTACCTAGACAGCATTGGAATTTCTGCATAATGCATTGCAATAAAAATACTGATTATGATTTATTTATTACTAAAAAAGTAACAATTATTCCATGTAAATAAAGCTGCAGACTTTCAGCTCTTCCCACATCACCTCCGTCTCTTTCTGTTGTTGTTCTGGTCTCAGGGCTACATGAAGCCCCTCAAGCACCCGGAAAACTCGCCTCTCTGTGACCCGTCTCTGGTGGACGAGATGTTCTACCAGATCCCTGAGATTCTGGAGCATCACGAGCAGTTCCTGGAGCAGGTGCTGGACTGTGTCAACCAGTGGCACGACAAACAGACTATCGGGCATGTGCTCATCCAGTCGGTGAGATCCTAACCACTGTTTGAATGCTGTTTGGTAATAGCATCCCAAATCTTAGTTCGCTGTAGTTGGTCAAATTTTTCAGGTGGTTTTTGGTTTTATGGATCTGTGCATGCTTTTTTAGGGCAATATTGTCCACAATCTGGACGAGGAGAACTAATGCTGTGTCCTGATTTGCATGCTGTCTTAAGTAATATGCAAAATTAGTATACTGAATATATTGAATATGAAAGTATATGGATAATTGGATGCTAATGTTAGGTCCCTTTGATTTCTGCAATGTGGAAAATGTGGACGGAATCAAATTTCACAAGCATTTCGCCATTTCATTTGATACAATTATCATCAGATACATACAGAACCTCAAAAGTGTTCACTCCACCCCGTCAAAATATATGTTTGGGTTAACTTGAAGAAATTATTAACGAAATAAATTACTGTTGTACTATAGAATGTATTTCTCAAAGTGAAATTACTAATTATAATGTCATTTATTAAAACATTTTTCAGAAATGTCATACAATTTTTCATCCATGCTTCAGTTTAAACTGTAAACCTCTGTTGACAAAAAAAAAATTTGTTGCAATTTCATTTGATTGCATTTTTAAAAATAAAGGCTTTAAAGTATTCTGTTTATTTGATTAGCATCTTTTTTGGTGATAAATTTGTATTAATTCATGAAACACAGAATCCAGAAAAATTTAAACGGATGACACAGAATTTCTGAAAAAATAAAACATTTCATAGGGCACTATTATTATGAAAATTTGTAATAAATATGACAATTGTTAAAGTGTAATGAATTTTGATCATTCAAATTTAATTTAACCATTAAAATAGAATCCAAGAAAATTTAAATGGAAAACAGAATTAAGGAAAAAATAAAGCGGGCCTGACTAATGTTGGATGTTGTACTATTTCTAGTGGATTTTTAAGTGCAACTTAAGAGAAGTTGTGATGGTTCTCTATTGATATATTGAAAAATGTCAAAAACCTCAAGGCTGAAGGGTTTTTTAAATGCATGAACCTTAAAGTTTTTAAAAATTATTAAATATTAAAAATATTAGGTAATAATTCTGGATCAAATCACTATTTTATGACATCATATGTACATCATATGTCCCAATACTGGCTTACGGTTTTACTACATACTCAAAAGTGTGTACTTTCCTATCACCAGTGAAGTTCATATAAGAAGTGTTTTTTTTTGCCTTACTTAAAGTGCCCTTATTATGAATTTTTGAAAATTACCTTTCATGCAGTGTGTAACACAGCTCTAAGTGGATGAAAACGTCCTGCAAAGTTTTAAATCTGAAAGTGCATTGTGTATAAAGTTATAGCCGGGTTTCCATCCAAAGTTGCAAATTTAACTTATGCACAAAATTGGAATATCGCATAAAACATTTGCGAACAAGCACTGTTTCCATCTAATGAGTCAGAGCAAACAAAATCGTCACTTCCTGATAAACTGGCACCAAATATCACTAAGTAAGAGAAGCCACTGAATATAATAATTCTCAAATATAATAAATTACTTGTGCTTTGAGTGAGTAGACGAAACACAATAAATGCGTTCTGGCTTTCGGAGGTGAATGTCAGCTGGTTAGGAACGCAGTCATGGTCGACCGTTCTGGGGGGCAGTTATACAGAAATACTTTGACGACAGACTTTGCTCGGGCACTTCAGAATGACCATGACAACATTTCAGATGCTGTGCAACTAAATCGGTCCGCCGGTTAGTCAGGTTATGCTGTCCCATAGCGCAGTCACATTACTTTTTTGAACGCTCATGTGGGATTTATTCGTAAAATGCGTTTCCATCTCCCATTATTCGCATTAACCCTTTTTCGCACAAGTCAAAAACCACCTCAAGCGAGCGTAAAAACTTTTTTGCGAATTAAGGGATTTTTATTCGAAATTCATTTCTCATGCGATACTTCAAAATGCACATTAAAACAGGGTGATGAAGCATAGCCATTAGCTGGGTTTCCATCACCCTGCTTTTATGTGCATTTTGAAGTATCGTATCAGAATCGAGAGATGGAAACGCTGAATTTCGAATAAAAATGCCTTAATTCGCAAAAATGTTTTTACGCTCGCTTGAGGTGGTTTTTGACTTGTGCGAAAAAGGGTTATAAAAGGGTGCGAATAATGGGAGATGGAAATGCATTTTGTGAATAAATTCCTCCAAGCGCATCAAAAAAAGTCATGTGACTTTGCGCTATGGGATGGTAAATCCTGACTAACCGGCGGACCGATCTTGTTCCACAGCATCTGAAATGTTGTTATGGTCATTCGGAAATGCATGAGCAAAGTCTGTCATCAAAGTATTTCTGTATAATTGCCTCCCAGAACTGTTAAACGACTGCGTTCCCAAACAGTAGCATCCACCTCCGAAAGCAATAACCGCATTCGTTGTGTTTCATCTGCTCGTTCTGAGGTGCAAGTCATTTATTATATAGGAAAATTATTATATTCAGTAGCTTCTGCTACTTTTCGTGGTGATGTATAGTGGCAGTTTATCAGGAAGCGATGATTTTGTTCTCTTTGACTCGTTGGATGGAAACGGTGCTTGTTCGCAAATGTTTTAATCGATATTCAAATTTTGCACATAAGTTAAATTCGCAACTTTGGATAGAAACCCGGCTATTGTCTCTCAAAAAAGTAGACTCTGAATCATTGAAACTAGTCGTTTTAAAAACGAATCCCAAGCCGTTTCGTGTTGACGTCAACATGAAACATTAGCATATTGCCCTCGTACTTGTTGGTCTTTTCGCGTTGGTATGAATGAAAATGCAAATTCATTCTTTGCCAAATAGCGGTTTCCCCGGTAACACTATACACAAAGCAGCACTGCGCTCACAAACGCTGCTTTATCAGGCATTACAGGCATGATGCGGACCAATCACCGCAGATTAGCGTCACGCAAAGGAGGGGTTTGGAAAAATGAATTGTTGAGCAAGTAAGGTAAAAAATAAATGCATATTATAAGACAATGAAAGTGTTTTTATGCATGTCAACCTGTTGTTGGGGACTCCCAAAACCAAAATATGAACCTTTCATAACCCATAATAGGGGCACTTTAAATGTCACAAGTAATTTTACAGCCTTTAAGACCTGGTTCAGAAATAGCTTGGGAACAAATTGTTAAAAATTGCTGTAATCAAGAGATATTTCAATAGTCTATTTTCACGTTAACAGCACGTCTCGTAATGATGATGTCATTCATCCTCTGTGATTGGCCACCCACATGGTACATTTAGCCAGAGATCTGCTCCGCTAGTGCATGAACGCTAGCTCTCAGACAGTACTGACAGACGTGTAGTAGGTGTTTGTTTTCCGTCCTAAAGGGATGATGTGTGGCTTATTAGCTGACAGGGACGCCACACTGTCTAACCTCACTGGACTTACATTGTTAGGGTCTGTGCTGTCGTGATGCTGGTGCCGTTCTGTCTTTCAAAAGTACACACTGTACACACACACACAATTTCTCCTGCTGCTAGGTCCTCGTCTTATCTTAAGTATCATCTCTACCATTCAAAGATTTTTTTCCATACGTTTTTACAAAATAAATGAATATTTTTCTTCACCAAGGATTTATTAAATTGATCAAAAGTGACAGTAAATGTTAAAAAAGATAATGTTGTAATGTTAGAAACGATTTTTATTTCAAATAAAGGCTGATCTTTTGAACTTTCTTTTAATCAAAGAATACCGAAAAATAAAATGTAGCATGATTTCCACAAAAATATGAAGCAGCACAACTGTTTTCAGCATTGATATTAATCGGAAATGTCTCTTGAGAAGCAAATCAGCATATTAGAATGGTTTCTGAAGGATCACGTGACACTGAAGACTGGAGCAATGATGCTGAAACTTCAGCTTTGCTTCACAGAAATATGACATTTTAAAATATATTACAATAGAAAACAGTTTTAACAATTTTAAATTGCAATAAAATTTCACGTTTTTACAGTTTTTACTGTGTTTTTAATGAAATATATGCTCACCAAGGCTGCATGAAACACTTCTTTCAAAAATATTAAAAAATCTCACCAAGCCCAAACTTTGGAACGCTAGTCTATATACTTTCTGATTACTTTTAGTGTGTTGTGTAAGTACGCTGATTGGGATGTTGAGTGTAAGCTGATGGAATGCCGAGTGTCTCGGTGTGGGGTTTTAATCTGTCTGACCCTCTGCCCCGGTATGGAGTAAAACCACCTCACCACCGCTAGTTCAGTGTCGTTTAGACGTTCCTGTCAGATTCACGTTCGACATTAAATGCAGGATTTTTATTGGCTCTGACTAAACAAGTCGACAAACACAGGTAGTTAGCACTGGGATCCGCTGCTCGTTTAGACGCTGTAATTGTGTTTTATGAGTTTCTCTAAGGATCTGCGTCGCTTTAGGCTTGCACTGAACCCTGTGACATTGAACCGAAGTCTCAGTGGAAACGTCTCTTATGCTCATGCCTACGCTCATGTTGTAATTAGAGTGTAATTTACTGTAGCTTTCAGTGTTGTTTTGTAATGATTCTGATGTTTTTATGGTTCTGGGAGACGTTTTTCTCATTCGTTTTTTCCCTATTCAAATCTCTGAGATGCATCTGAACAGAACAAGCTGCAAGAAAGGGGCATTATCTTATTTTATTACTTTTATTAAATAACATACAATCCAAGTCACATGCTAATGTCAAGATAACCAGAAACAAAACACAAAAAGCAAGGGTCATTCACCTTATTTGATAAACTAAAATATCAAATGATTTAATTACGTTTGTTATATTACATTCATGTGCACTTTAATGTACAACTACAAACTAGACATGAGGAAACCTGGGTGGCAGTACATAAACTATGAAACACTTTTTTTTATTTTCATTTCATGTGAACTTTTAGTGTTCAAATGTGAACTAGACACAAGGGGAAACCTGAGCATCAGCGGGGGGGGGGGGACATTTCAAACATTTTCTAAGGACAGCATTGCTCCTTAAAAGGTTTCTATCAATGATTTGCAGTCTAGGGTTGAGTAGAGTTTGTAAAGGTGCACAGTTGTTCTGTTCAGTACTGATAATGTATCTGCTTTCTCCTCACAGTTTTCCAAAGAGATCCTCGCCAATATTTATTCAGCGTACATCGACAACTTCATGAACGCCAAAGATGCAGTGAGAATCGCCAAGGAGGCCAAGCCGGCTTTCCTAAAGTTTCTAGAGGTACATTACGGCTTTATTTCTGTGCATATGTGTAGGTACAAATACTTTTACACTACAATTATCCCCTCGAGAGGCTGTTTGGCAGCTCTAGGACATTATATATGGCCATTTGGCACAGTTAAACTTTAAATATATGGATTTTGTCATTGTGCAAAGAAACTGACCTGTTAAAAACACAGCATTCATTTTCTGCTTAAGATGGACTGTTAATGTATTTAGCCAGTGATGGTGACACACGTGGGGTTAAACTGGTTATTTTAGTATTATTTGCATTATTATAGTATTTATTCATGTTTTCAAATAGCTTTCATGTTCATATTTTTTTAGTTTTCATTTTTGTTCAGTCTTAGTTTTAGTAATATTGAACCTATTTTAGTTAGTTTTCAAAGAAACATTTTTCATATATATATATATATATATATATATATATATAAATTTCTT